AATAATAATAACAATTTTAAAAAATAAAAAATAATAATAACAATAATAATAATTATTATAATTATTATTAATATAATTATTATTGACGTTATCACTATCATTAATGGTGGTTGTCTGTGGGAGTGGGTGGTTGGCAGATGCCCTGCTGTGGCTTATTCCTTCTTCCTCATCTGACATCTGTCGTCCTTATCTCTTTTTCTCTTCTGTATGAGGTAACATGTTGCTCTATTTTAACAAATCTAATATTTGACACTTTTTCAAATTATTTTTTCGAGTGTCTCGGTCTCTCGGCTGGGGTGTTGTATCCATCTCAGCCCAAGGCTGGCTCTGACAGGCAGGGTCTAAAGACTGCTTCCTAAATGCTTGAAATCGTGTTTCTAAAAAAATCACTTAAACCTTATCCGTACGTCGTGTTTTACAATCGTATCCATGCGACATTGGGAGCTCTGTGCCACCACTTTCCAAAGAGGAAGTTTACTCGTTAATCCGATCCGTACGCTTTGCATAGCAGTCTGTCAAAATGATTTTTTGAAAATTAATACTGAAAGTTTCAAAGAGATCTTCGTACTACAAGTATTCTTAAATGTAAAGAATACAACCCCGGGGGTACAAAATGATCCCAGGGCGTACGGATAGGGTTAAACAACCCCCACCCTATTTAACGTCCTTGAGGCAAAGACAGTTCAACAGACAGGGATGTCTATGGCGCTCCGCACAAATGTGTTCACAACACTGTCTCCTAGAGTGAGTACCTCTTTGCACCACGCCCCGCCTGGCCCACGCACGTGCTGAACAAAGGGAACTGTGTGGATGAGCGCTGCGCACGCCACCTGGCCTATCTCACTCTTCTTTTTGACCCGCTCCGATGTATGGTTGTAGAAACCTGGAGGAGAGTGAGGGAGGGGGGGGATGGAGGGAGGAGGGAAGGGAGAGAGAAAACATTTAATGTCATTAATTAAACTGAGTTTATAGCGCTTTCTTCATCTACATTTTCTCCTTTTTTATTGTCTCATTGTACTTCTTCTTTGTCTTCATTTTCTCATTTTCCTCTTCAGGACTTATCATTTGGCACAATGCGACCTTGAAAAAGAGATACTTATAATTAATAAAGTGATAGTCAAATTTAGTTGAATTATATCACATTGTGCCAAAAAATGCAACTTTTGTTCCATCAATTAAAAGAATAAAACCTGGCTGGCCCCGACCAAGTCCAGAGAATCCGATTGGCAGAGTTGATAAATAGATAAAAGAGAAAATGACAGTGGAAATGAATTAAGATTGAGACACAAAAGTGTGAGTTTTTAATGCACCCGTCAACACAATTTTGGTCATTAAGGAGGCAGGCTTCGACCATGCTTGTTAGAGCCAACCTGGACTGAGAGGGACATAAGGTCTCAGTGGGCTCTCGTGGCCTAGAGGTTAAGGTGTTGGCCTCTCATTCAAAGGTCCCGGGTTCGAATCCGGGTAGCGACTGAAAAATTTTATTCTCTAAAATTGTCTCCTTTCACCTCATTTCCTGCTCTCTAGCAATGTTCTGTTGTCTGCTTTCATTTCCACTTTCTGCCCCCACCCCCTCACCTCCTTTGCCCCCTCCTCTGGGCTCCTCTCTTTCTGCAGCCTTTCTACTGCTACTCCTTGGCTCCTCCTTACTGCTGTCTTTCTGCCACACCCCTGATCTTATGGTAGGAAAGATCTACACCTAGCCTTCTCGGACAAGGGCGAAAAATCTCGGAGGGCCCGTGTGCAAGTTGTGCACGTTAAAGATCCCTTGGAGGTCTAAAATCGATAAGAGTAGGCTTTGGCCACCACCAGGGCAAAATTCAAAATTTCCTACCAACTGAAAATATTAGGTGTGTCCCGCGCTCTCATATGACCTTATGCAGTTGCGAGCACCGTAAAACACTTTACAAAAACAAAACAAAAACAATAAGGTCTCAGCAGAAGAAAATTTCTCCCCATATGGGAATCGAACTCAGACATTAGATGTATGTGCAATGACGGAGCACCTAACCACTTGACCACAGACGTCAGTTTTATGGAGTTAGATGGAAATACGAAAAAAATAAAATAAAGAAGAATAGACAAAACCAAATGGAGAGGGAAAAGCAAAAGGGAAGGAGATAAAAACAAACAAATAAACCAACCAACCAACAAACAAACAAACCAACACACCTGTATGGCACACATCCAGAGAGTAGGTCAGCTGCAGCACGGGTCGGGGGTCCCTGGGGGACGGGTACAAGTGACCCATCAGGGGTCGCCGGGTCAGCGGGAAGACGTGGGACTTGGAGAACGGCGCCTGTTTGGGGATGGTTATGTCCCACAAGTGGGTCGCGTTCTCACGGTAGAAGCTGACGTCTACGAAGGGGGCGCGCCACGCGATCTTTTTGATGGGGTTGGCAGACGTGGAGTAGAACTTGTACCTGCAGGTGTCATTTGACGGGATGGGACTGTTAACGTTATTTTTACATCTTCTTCCACACATTTAAGTCGTATAGAGTATAAGTGTTAACCTCAAGGCCGCGAACAAATATATTCGACCCCTGCAGGAAAGGGCTCATCCTTTGCTGAGCTCTAAAGACATTTGATTGGCTACTGGGCTACTGTAGTTGTAAGCGGTGACAACAGTGATTGGATCAACGAGCAAGCCGCCAAGTTGATCACTCTGTGTTCATTGCGTACGGTCATAACGGTTTCAAATGCTTATTTCATTATGGAGAAACTTTCATTTATTTTGGGAGAGAGTTGGGGGTGGTGGGTGGGGACGGGGGAGGGGCTCAAGCCCATTAGCCCTTCACTACCACCCGCCACCGTCGGCCCCTGGGAGATTTTAGTTTGGTGCCCGTCCACGAAAGGACTATTTCATCATATCTCAACAAATCAGTTCTTGCCCACTTTTTTTCATCAATCTCATTTCATCATATTTTATGTTATCCTATCTCGCCTCATCTCTATTCATCTCAGTTTCCGTCATCCGTTAATCTTACTTTGTCGTGTTGTATCGTAACTCTATTCAAAGAGCCCACTGATCCCGACGCCAACTTCCACAGACTCACCGTATGGTGGATGTGTCCGGCCTGTGTCCCC